AGAACAAGTAAAAGCTCAGTTGCTGGAATTATTTAGACCAAGGTGATTCAGCCATCTCATACCCTCTTGGATTCCCATTAGAGATAGGAAAAATGTTTTCATTAAGTCTCAATTAGCTATCCATATATTTCAAGAAAATTTGAGGGCTGCCATGGGAAAGGTCCAACACACACCCTGAAATCAGGCATGGGAGCACAACGCTTCTATGAAAATCAATGAGGAGACCCTGACACTGACCCTGAGGATGTAGGGGGCAGGATGGGACCGAGGACTGGTAATACCTGAAGGCTGTCAAATGTTGAAGGCAGTGAGTTGTCCCAGTGGGCCATGGCTTGAGAAATGCTAGTCCAAAACACATTCTAAGCCTGTGACTTAAAACAGAGCTCTAGAGAGGAAGTTGTGTTTTCCAGCCAGAACATGTGTACAATGTCAGGACTTAACACCCAGTTAATTACATACATGACCAGTAATGTTCAAAGAATAGAAATACATGAGGAGAGCATCATCATAAGGAACAATATGAAATACCTTCACATCATGGTGTAATGGTTAATTTGATATGTTCACTTGGCCAGGCGATAGGGTCCAGTTGCCTGATTAAACACCAGCCTGCTGCTGTGAAGGTACTTTTCTCATATGTGATTAACATGTAAGTAAGTAGCATTTGAGGAAAGTTGATTATGCTACACAATGTGGGTGGGCCTCATCCAGTCAGTTGAAGGCCTGAAGAGAAGAGACAGGTCCCACAAGGAGGGAGGAATTCTGCCTCCCTACGGCCTTCAGACTCAGAGCTGCAACCTCGGCTTCTTCTTTGGTCTCCAGCCTCCAACCTGCCCTTCAGGTCTCAGACTTGCCACTCTCCATTACCTCAGAAGCCAACACCTTAAAATAGATCTCTCTATGTACATCCTACTTGTTCTAGATAAACATCCCATGGTTTCTTTCAAAAACGCTCACTGATCCAATATCAAGCTCGCTTGTAGCCTCATCCCATATTTAATCCATATTTCTCAATCAAACACTTTTGGCCTGGGACATTTCTCCATTGTGTGGGACCGTCCCACTCACTGGAGAACACTTAACAGTCCTGTCCCTCTTGCATAAAATACTGTTAGTCCCCTCCTCCTAATCTATCATAACAACCGAAAACACTCCCACACATTTTCAGGTTTCCTCTGGGGACTGACTGGTATTTGTCCAGTTGAGAACTATTGATCTACTTCGACTTCTCATTTCATACATAAAGAAACTAAGGTGATGGAAAATGTACTTTTAAAGAAAGCAGAACATGATTATTTTTCAATTCACAGCTTCTGTACAAATCCAAAATAAAATGCCAGTTTAAAATAAATGGGGAAAAAATAGTATTTCATTTCTAGTGCTTGACCAATGCTAACCTCATTCATCATAAATCAGCTCCTAGAAATCAGTAACAAAATGAAGATTATAAGGTACATGAAAATAAAAGAAAGAGAGGAAAATAAAATAACACAACTAATAGTGCTGTATGAAGATGATGTAGCTTAACATTAGCAGATGAGAGAGCAATTTCTTTGTAATATTACATTACCAATGATTACCAATGTTGATACCCACTGTGTAGTTTTAGGAAGTGGGGAACATTCAAACACTGGGAAAACATACTCCACTTATGGGAAATTTACTCAACATGTAGATTTTGCATATACTTTGTCCTGGCAGTTTCAATCCAAAGGAATTATTCCAACAAAGTAGTTGGATAAATTTAAATTTATATATAAGCATGTTCACTACATAAAAGATCTGTAGCTAATACATCACCCCGCACCCCAAACTTGTTATGTATCAATTGGTTAAGGGAACAAAATACATGTTTTTAAAAATGTTAGTAGCAAAACCGTAGCGAGAATTCAGGTTTTAGATTTCTAGTTTAGGGTACATTCCTAACTCCCTTACAAATCCTGTTGAGAGGCTATGTTAACTTTTCTTCCCGGGTCCACAAGGGGTGTGGTTTCAAAGGCAAGAACTTCCCAGGACCATGCCTCCATTCACCTCCCCATCCGGGAGCCTAGAGATCTTTAACTTTCCTGTGGGCGGGGCTAGGTAGACAGCCCAGGTGAGCTTCCTCTGTTTAGAAAGCCTGCCAAAAGCTCCGAGGGAGGAGGCTTTGGTTGTGGGCCAGGTAACCACGACAGCATGGGAGCTCGCTTTCCCTCTCTCTCTCTCTCTCTCTCTCTCTCTCTCTCTCTCTCTCTCTCTCTCTCTCTCTCTCTCTCCTCTCTCTCTCTCTCTCTCTTTTCTCCCTCTCTCTGCCTAATAAATCTCTTCCTGCAAAACTCTCTGGGTTCGATACTTACTTGAAGGCACTCGCCACCAGGGCCGTTTACCCATTCTTGGATGCGTGAAAACACATCTGATCCGGGAAGAGAGAGCGTCTTTGGGACACCCCTGCAGCCCTGTTCCTGTCACTTGGTTACACTATGAAATCACGCTAAATGTATTCATTTATCCATTGAATGTATAAAAGCTCTCGGCATATTATAAATTGAACATTTAGCACATAAAGTTTATAATTTTGCTTTTCATGTTTTTGTAATATCTAGAGAGAGCATGCTAATCACCACTGTTTGGTTCTCCCAATACTCTCTTTTTACGGGAGATAATGCCTTTCTTAGGTTTTGCTAACTGAGCCACATGGTTCCAGTTAGAGGTTATGTGCTTCTGCCTTTCTGGCTGCAGTGGGTTTGAATGGGCACCGTGACACAGGCTTGTCTGTCAAAATCCTCCCCTGTTCATTTAACTACAAACAAGGAAGAGAGACGATCGTTCCCTTTGGAAACCATGGAAACGAAAGGATGTGGTGCTCGAGGGTTGCTGTTGGCTGCTCTTCACTATGAAAAAAGAGGTTGATGTTCAGTGAAACACAGTGAAGCCAAGACAGAGAGAAGCGGAAATGGGAACCGGGTGGGGTGGGGGGGATCCTGCAGGGCTCGAATCCCTGGCACCAGTCATTCCTCAAACTGTGCTGCTTCCCCGCTCTCCTCCTGTCTAGCTACTCAACGCTTTCTTTGATTGTATGACATTCCTTAGCGTCCTTTAAACCCTCCTTCCTTTAGTCTAAACTAGTTTGAGCCATGTTTTTGTTATTCACAATTAAAATAATATGTTTATTAGAAAATGACTTCTTGAGTTTTTTATAATCAAGCAATTCAGAAACAGCAACAGTTACACTTGGGTTTCAAGACATAAACAGTGAGTTGCCAGCAGAGGTAATGATCCTAGCTGTGCCTCCAAGGGCATGTCATCTTGAAGGAATTAAGAAAATGTGGCTTTAGGCACGGGGCGGTGGCTCACACCTGTAATCCCAGCACTTTGGGAGTCTGAGGCAGGCAGATCACCTGAGGTCAGGTGTTCAAGACCAGCTTGGCCAACATGGTGAAACCCTGTCTCTACTAAAAATACAAAAAAAAAATTAGCCAGGCATGGTGGCAGTTACCTGTAATCCCAGCTACTTGGGAGGCTGAGGCAAGAGAATTGCTTGAATCTGGGAGTCAGAGGTTGCAGTGAGCTGAGATTGTGCCACTGCACTCCAGCCTCATCAACAGAGTGGGACTCTGTCTCAGAAGAAGAAAAAAGCAAATGAAAATGTGGCTTTAATAAGGTTAAAAATGTAGCTGCACCATAATTTCTATCACCATTGTCAGAATCATCTAGCTATTTATTTTTTCAGTTTTGTCTCATGTTTGCTTAGAAAAAATTCCTCCTTTTCTTGATATACTTTCTGAAATGCCATCCTCATCATTCATTTCCAATTCAAATTGAATTTCTTTGAGATATAGCATTTGGTGTAGCATCTCTAATTTCCTATGCACCTGCATGCAACGGCTAACTGGGCAGGCTCTGCGTGGAATTTTTCAGGGCATAGGTGGTAGTTAGGGGGTCTTTGTATTTGGTAATGTATGAGATTCTTCCCATCCTCAAATTCCCCATTAGTCTGTCCATATCAGGACCACTGATGCTTTTTGCAGACTAAAGCTGTCCTTGGCTGATAAGTGGAAAGAAGAAATGATTTTAAAAAAATGAAGAACAAGCAGCTACCTTAATAGAAAAGAGCACTTAAAAGGCTTTTTAAAAAAAAAACACAGAATTTAGAAAAATTACTTTATCTTTCCCTTTTCTCTGAATCGCTGACCACTCAAGGCATGCTATAGAAACCTGAGGGATGAGAGGCCCTTTAGACTGTTGTGAGCTATACAATATGTGGGAAGAAAAAGTGAGGACTAATGATCTTCCCCACACTGCTGAGATATTAGACTCACTCACTTCCATCTCTTCTGACACATGGTTTTAGGCCCAAAGAAATACGTGTCCTTCAGAAAAAAAGAGAGGTTGGCAATTTTTTTCTTAACACAAACCATGTGTAAATTTATTTCCCCAATTTGTGCAAGGAAAGAAAATAAAATAGCACAAAACTTACTAAGTAGAACGCCAGGAGCCCTACAGTCTGGAAAGCCCTGCTCCAGGATGTCATGTGCCCAGGACACAAAGGGGGTCACTTTCATTCACTATCCACCTCTATCTACTGTGGCCTAAGAAGCAGGAGAAACACACTACACACCCCCTGAAAGGGAAATTCTGTCTCAGGCTTCATGACTCAGCTTGCATTTTTCTTCTTATACTCTCGAGTCCCCTGGTTGTCAGTGATGGCTTCTACTCTACCTATGTGTGCTCACCTCAGGACCTGCACCTATTCTCTGCTTCCCCTCATTTGTGCCATCTGTGGTCTTGCCTATTACAAGGGTTGACAATCCTTGCTCTGAACCAGCAGATCAGCACCCCCAGGCCAATGCTTTTCTTGTTATGCAAACACATCACAAGCACTGCCAGTGAGCAGAACGTGACACAACCCACACAACCCACACAACCCAACACAACCCACACAACCCACACAACCCAACATAAACCCCACAATTCCCAGGCCCTTTCATTGCAGAAGGTAGAAAAGACTTTACCCAACTCACCTCAAACTGAAGGGAAAATTTATAGTCAGAGTCTTTGGCCATATCCTTAATGTAGGCATCAAAGTCATCCAGTTGAACCGGGCTTTGTCAAACACAAAGGAATGTATACACCTTAAAATTCTTGTTGATAATATTACATATTGTTCAATATCATACTTCTTAGTTTTCTTGGAGAAAATAGAAGTTTTACTTCACTAAGGTTAGCACTTACCTTTTTCGTTTGTTTGTTTTTCGTTCAAGTTTCCAATGCTTAATATATTGCAATTGAAAAGAAGGGCATCTATATCCAAGTTCTTTGAGAGGAGAAATCTCTAGATTTTCACTTGGCTTTTACTCTGGAAGTATAGTACTATATACATGCATACTCACATACACACACATATATGTTGCTTCTAGAAAGCTCTGGCATATGGAAAGTAACAAAGGCATCGATTCCAAAGACCTGTTTGAGGTATGGGTTTGCTTTACAGACTGTTATCCTGGAGAATCACCTAACTCTTCAGAGTCACTGTTCTCATCTATAAAATACTATAGTTATACCTACAAGGTTGACATATAGTATATAAAGAACTTCGTAATTTTCAGCAGGTTTACAAGTATAAGGAATTGTGCGGCTAGCTACAGCCTACTCAAAGCATAGGCAGGATCAGTGGGATGAAACATTTGTCCAGAAAGCTCCCAGGGTCTCTCTCACTGGAGTGAGTCATCTTTAGAGGTTTGCATATCTGTAAATGTATGGAAAATGGCTCAGAGGTGCAATCAAGTAACACATCTGAGCTTATGTTTCTGCATCTGAAGCAGAAGTTTGTATCTTTTTTTTTCTTTTTTTTTTGAGAATAGAAATGAAGTTTAATTTCCTGTAGATTCCTGTAGCTGCTTATCCCCTCTGGATAAGCAATGCTTACCTAAACCAAAGTGCTCTCTAAAGTAGCTCTCTGCTTCAGCAGAATGCCGCATTCTGTCCTCTAACTCAAGCCTTTCCACTTTGGCAGTGTCCTTACAGCTGGCCCTTCCCTTGGTCTTGTGGCATGTTACTCAGCTTACATCATCTAACTGTGGTATTTTTTTCTGTTTTGTTTTGTTTTGAGATAGTCTCTTTCTGTCACCCAGGCTGGAGTGTAGCGGCATTATCTCTGCTCACTGCAACTTTCCCCTCCTAGGTTCAAGTGATTCTCCTGCCTCAGCCTCCCAAGTGGCTGGGACTACAGGCAAGTGTCACCACACCTGGCTAATTTTTGTATTTTTTAGAAGAGATTGGGTTTCATCGTGTTGGCCAGGATGGTCTTGAACTCCTGACCTCAAGTGATCCACCTGCCTCAGCCTCCGAAAGTGCTAGGATTACAGGCATGAGCCACTGCACCTGGCCTAACTGTGGTCTTATGTCCAATTAGCAAATCCATAGTATTTAATAGTGCTCGTTTAAAGTTGTTGATTAGCTAACCTGATGGATTCATTTATGTTGAGACTTTAGTAAATTGTAGAGGACATTATATCTTCCAGAGAATACTTTTCAACTTAAATGTTTTTACTGAGTAACAATAATTCATTTATAAAACACATTACTCTTCATAAGTACTCACATGTGTTTTCTTGCTTAATCGATTCCTGAGGTAAGGACAGACAACATTAGCTCCATGCTCCAGCTGAGGGAGCCCAAGGCTAAGAGAGTTAAAAGAGTAGCCCAACATCACATGTCTCCTAAGCAGGAGAATTCTCAATGGAATCCAGGGAGAGTAAGTCCTAGCTCAAAGCTTTTCCCACTTCAAACTTGTTATCCTTCCAAAAGAATGGCTAAAGTTGGGGCTCCTCTCCCGGAATGAACCCCGTAGAACTGCAATCTCTGGCTGCTGTCTCTGGGGAGTACGTCGACCTTAAAGTTGGATTTAACAACTCTGGCTTTCATCTTGTTACTAGGAAAATGGGCACATGTATACTGAAGGCCAACCAAAAAAGGATTTATGGGTCAAAAGAAGTAAAAGCAAGAAGCTCAGAGAAAAGAGAGACAGAGGAAGGAAGAGCAAACAGAAGAATGGACATGAGGGAGAAGAAGGAGAATGACAAGGAGAAGAAAAAGAAAGCTAGAAGGGAGCAGAGACCAAAAGGACAAATATTTACAGGGAAAGGGGTAAAGAGGAGGTGAAGGAAAGGAATGATGGAACGAAGACAAGTGGAGACAGAAAACGGAAACCAGGGGGACATGGTAGTGGTGGGGCGCCTGGAGTGAAAGAGAAATGGTAGAGAAGGCAAATAAAAAGGTGAGGGAAAGCCTGCCAAGAAATGTCTTCTAGAGCAGAGAGGACTCAAAGGAAAATGAGACAGGGAAGGCAGAAACTGAATTAATGTGTGTGTTATTTTTGCTTGTGGGTATGTTCTGCCATTCTTAATCTCTACCATATCTTTTTCTGGGTCTTCCTTCTCCTTCTTTTCTTTGCCTGGGTCATGGGAGGAGCAAGCCTTGGTAGCCTCTCCTTTTTTGTCCCAGAACACTGTCTTCTAAATGCTCTAGTCTATGCCTCTCTAGCTCACCTGCCAACACAACCAATAGGTTTTGGTAACAAAGTCTTTCTGTTGCTGTGAAATCATCCCTCCCAGTCAACTTTTCTCTCCTACATCTATTCCCTCTGGTCTTACCTCTCCTCCATCAGTTGGTATGAGCCAGTGGAATGTACACTGGTTTGAAATTGACTTAGAAACTGGGCACAGTGGCTCACGCCTGTAATCCCAGCACTCTGGGAGACTGAGGCAGATGGATCATAAGGTCAGGAATTTGAGAACAGCCTGACCTTTCAATATGGTGAAACCCCGTCTCTACTAAAAATACAAAAATTAGCCAAGCATGGTTGTGTGTGCCTGTAGTACCAGCTACTTGGGAGACTGAGGCAGGAGGATTGCTTGAAACAGGGAAATGGAGTGAGACTTCATCTAAATAAATAAATAAATAAACAAATGAAATTGATTTAGAAAACATTATTCTATTTCCATATATGCCATAAAACTATATGCCACTCAAGACTAACTAGAAACACTTTTCCATCAACTTTTCTTTTGGATTATATCATGGATTATTCATGATTTATTTCCATAAGCATAGATGCCACAGACCTGGCTGAACCCCCAACTGCCTTCTTGTACTAATTCACCAATGTTATAATCGGCAGGTGTCAGGAACAAATTATATTTGAAGGAAAGTTCTGTTTCTCATATGTAGAATTATAGCTAAGAAAAGGCGTGGAGGTGTAATCTAATAGGCTTTTGAAATCAACTGAGGGTTAATTTTCACTCAACAAAATCATAATTCTTCTGACTTAATGGTTCAATAGATAAGGAAAACCACAGGCTACAGTAATTATCTTTTCTACTTATTATACAGGTTTTTTGAGACAGCATTATCAAAGTATTTATTATAACATCAAATAGCGTATAAGCCTTTTCCTGAAATAAACACAGCATTTCAAAATACTAAAAGGATTTCTGAAACGCTTTCATGTGCTAAATATTAGATTTTCAGATACTGTATTTAGAATACCACACTTCCTCCTCCAAGACTTTAAAAGTTACCAAGAATCCATTCTCTCAGATTTGATATGATAAACATTGTCCTTATTCCTGATGTGATTTCTGTGATGCACTTTTCCAGCGGTCATTGCCACTGAGGCAGAAATGATCAATACATTATTGTGCTTAGCTAGTGCAACATGCATTTGCCTCTTTCTGAAGCATCCCTTCTATTTGAAGACAAGCAATCTTTAACTGGAATGTTAAGATAATTATAACAAACATCCTTTTAAATGACATAGTAAGAAAAACTTACTTTGTCAGTTTCCTCTTCTTTAAGCCATTTTTACTCCTGATAATTAAAAAAGAAAAGACAAATTTATCTGGGCAAAAGAATTGATTAACATAATAATTAAATTGAAGAGCTTTAAATAATTACATCAGGTACCTCAATTTTATTTAATTCTCATTAAACACATGTCGGGTTTGTTTAATTCCTTTTCCTTCAATGGGAAGATAATAATAATTTTAGATTCAGGTTTTAAAACTCTACTAGGTCACGTGAACATATTTGCATGTTGTATTTCCTATTTGCCAAAAACTGAGTCTAGAGATGAAATTTCTCACTGCTGTCAATTCGGTTGCTAAAGTAATTTGTGAATACACAGGAATATCTATCTACCACCTGAATACTCCACTTTCTACAGGCAGGAAGGGAGGACTGGAGAATCAAATGGCGAACTAATAAAGAGAGGGTGGAATTTTTTTTTTAAAGACTAAAATAACATTTTCTAACATTTTTCTTTGGGGATATGAATGTGCGCTGTCTGTGTGGATGTGGATATTATATAATTCTACTATGGTGTTGTTTTTATTCCATCTTGATCTAATTTTTAAGCTATCTGAAGAACTGGACCTATTACCTGCTTGCCTTTCATCATTACTGGTCTGTAAGCTCAAACACAGGCAATGCTAATGCATGCTTTAGTTAGTCACATTTGTTTAGGGGATAACTAGGGCAATAGTTTTCACCCAACCAAGTAAGATAACTCACCTAAGTTAGCGAAGGCTAACAGTATCTACTGAAGCACTTTGTGGTTGTATTCTTATTGTCTTCTATAAATAATAAATATTAAAATGTGATTGTATGAGTGACATTACAGCAAATTTTTTTCTAACTAATTTTCAGATGTTTTTACATAATTTTGATGGAAGCATCCAAGTTTTCAGAAATAAATAGTCTGTGGTAAATAATCAGTTGTGATCTTAGTACTTTAATGTGTCCAGATATTTATTTATATTTAGAATGAGGGGTATTTGGATATCTCCACTCCCTGAAAGCTTTTAGCAGGATGAAGCACTACTGTGTCTGTGCCTTCACAGCACTTTGCAGTGGAGAGTTTCTCACACTGTGTGACTGTTAGTTGCTGATACACACCTTGCTACACTATAGCTTCTCCCCAGGGCTGAACACAGTGAATGAAACACATAGTGAGTGGTCAATAAATGCCTATTCAATTGAACTGAAATAAAATATCTCTTCCATGTTACCCTCAGAATTTCACTGAATGATTCCTTAAAGAATGGGATACTAGACTTGGGCTTGTGATGTTCTGATTGAAATAATGGGACTTGTGGACGGAGAGAGAGTAACGCGGGTCAGGAAGTATAGAAACACATCCACGAAGGCAAGCGGTGTTTTTGGTTTCAGGTAGTTTTAATTTCCTCCCACTTCGAAGTAAAAGCAATCCATTCAATGGTTTCTGTTCTATTTTTTCTCCCTCATCCTCTTTGTCCTCCATACTGGAGATTTGAGAGAAAAAACAGCTCCGTCCTTATCCTCTCTCTCCCTGATCCCCTCACAAAACACTGTCATGTCGGACGTAGCTGTATCATTCAGGCATTTGGAAACCTAAAGGAATATTTATTAATCCTGTTTTTTATTCAGCCCCTGTGATGGGAATTTAGTTAGCTTTAGGAATTCCACATTTACTTCTTGCTGTGAGAGCCAATTACTTCAGTGCTTTTGGAAAGCAGAATGTCAGGGGAGGTGACTAGCAGCTCTGCAGTCAGGAGGCTGCCAACATATTTTGTGATTGGAGTGAACAAAAAAATACTTTCCTATCCAAACAGACTTTAAAGGAAACTAAGAAGTAACAAATACGTGTGAGAGGGTAACACTGAATAAATTCAGTGCTGAAATATTAAGCTGCTACAACTCAGCAGCTGTGCAGAAACCTGATTCAGGGAGGAGAGACACGTTTTTTTTCTTTCACTCTCATTCATTATTGAATGAACTTTCAATATAACGTATAATTGTGCTACATGTTTTGTGTGACAAGTATCATATACTTGTTGGCATAAGTAATGATGACTTGTACACAGTTTTCCTTGTTTTATTTAGATCTTGCTGATTCCAAAGAGTTTCTGTATCCTAAGGCTGTGGAACATGACAGGATTGAATTCTGAAACTTCACAGCAACACTGATAAAATGTTCCTACATTTTCAACTGCTGTGTTAATTCCAAGACTAAAACCAGGGGAAATTTTATGCAGATGAAGGCTTTGCTAGCAATTTTAACTTAAGCACATTCTGGAAAGAGCCAATGTGTGCCCGTGTTACAGCGACGATTTTGTGTGACATGTAGGGTATCACCTTTTCATTGCAGAAGATTTTCCAAATCAATAAAGAACCCCCATCAGACATACGTATAGCATCCATGCATAGAGGATTTTGCACTTTTAATTTTGTTATCTTTCACTTATATTAGGTAAGGTTCAAAATCCTAATGACTTCGAAAAGTTAAGCTACATTCTGCATGAGTTCACCATGGTTATGACAGTCTCGGAAAGCCATCCCAAGGACATGGGATTTATAATGGTTAAAACAAAACAAAAGAAAACTCTAAAAGTCTCCAATTTTGTCGTGCTGCTTACTCTTTGATGAGCTAAGCAGAAACCATTCCCAAATCTTAAAAAGGACTTTAGGATTATATCATTCTTCAAATAGAACATGCAATCATCACGAGTAAAGCTGAGCATCTTCAACTAAACGTCACTTCCTGTTCAAATTGCCATCTGCTTAGGGTTGAGAACAAGTAGATGAATACCTGAGTACAGCAGGAGGGTCATTATGGCAGTTAAAAAAAAAGTAGTAACACTGAATCTAAATGATTTCTTTCAATAGGAAATATACTCTAAGTTATGAAAGTCAGAAATTCTTGCAGAGCATGGTCCTGAGACTAACCTAACTGGGCACTGGTCCTCCACACTGATTCTGCTACCAACCCGGGAAAAAATTCGAGCAACACTATGAGAGAGAGGAAGAGTTTTTTGATTTTTGCACAAACCACTAGTGTCATCGGATGGGTTTCAGAAAATCAACAGGAACATGTATTTCCAAGAAATTGACAGTTGAGAAAGGAAGCTGAACAGTGTGTTAGGCTGTATGCATCGGGGGAGATGGCTCTGTTATTTGCAGCTGTTGTTAACCGGGTAAGTGAAAAATGAGGACAAACACATCATTAGGAGGATTAAAAATGACTCCTTAGCCAATGAAAGCAGAGGAAGATAACCACGTGATTAGATGAAGCAAACAGGGAATTTGAGTGGCTGTGTGAGTAGAAACTGTGCTTCAATGAGTGGGAACCATGAATTTCACCTGTTTTGTATCTGCCAGTACACTAGCCTGGGGCTGAGAACACAGTTTATATCTAGCACGTTTTCACTAGTTGTTATGTGTGAAATTTACTGGAAGTGGCAGAAAGCATGGAGCTCTATCCTTCACCTTCTCTTCTCACCTGGAAGTGGCAGAAAGCATGGAGCTCTATCCTTCGCCTTCTCTTCTCACCCGGAGATAACCATTTACAGTTTCAAGGTGATTCTTCTAAAAACGGCTGAAGGGTATTTTTCCCCACAAGTTGGGTCTCATGCTATTTGATTGGTACTATAAATAGCAGACCTTGTGAGGGCTGCTGAAATTTGAAGGTAGGTTCATCAGTGAGGCCTATTAAGGAAGATGTGCTTATTTGCACAAGCCTGCCTTACACAAGCTTGAAAAAGAGCTGTGGAAAATGAGAAAGTCTCAGAGAATTAAGCAGGGAAATGATAGATGTATCTTTCTTTCATTTTAATTGCAATCTGGGATACTTTATGGGTATTTGCTATCAGTATTTCATTGATAGACTATTTGAGGATGATTAGATGTTCAGTTAAAAGTAAATATATATTTTGAAGGTAAAAATGGAATAATGTGTGCTACTCGTACCTGAAAACTATTTGATGTCAAATACTGAAAATATGGAGTTGACTGTGCTGAAGCTCTATACTAAAAACTGTAACAACAAACTTAGAATAACAGCGAATGGGTCCTCAGCATCTAGCACAGCCTTCTGACTGTGATTACACATCACGTCTACTTTGTTTTAAAAGCTTTTCTCCAGTCTGTCTCTTTTTTAAAGGAAGATATGAATTCTGGAATTAACAATCTCTATTTCGAGGAAATCCTTTTTAATGTTTCTTCCACTGCAACTTGAAATCCTAAATTCTGCCAGCTGTATTTATTCTGTCCTTAGAGAAGCTGAAGAACATTTGTTCAACTGTCTTTTTGAATAAATAAACTCTCCAGATTGCTTTTTACACCCACACCCCCACCCTATAAGCTATTTTTTCCAGTCTGTATTTTTATTGTTTTCTTCTGAGACCTTTTCAAGTTGTCCACATTTATGGTTCTGTCTGTACATAATTTAGAACCTAAACACTAGGTATTAATATTTAAGGACAATGACTTTTTTGTCAGTTCCATGGGAAAGTGCTGCCTTTTATCTTACAGCACAGGAAAAGGAATAGTTCTTGATTCTTTAGTCTCATAATTCAAGGTTACTATTATTATTGCATATTAAAAAGTCAAAAGGAACACTTCAAGATTTGATCATTAAAATCATCTATAAGTCAAGAAAACAGAATTAAAGAAGACTGCTCTTTACAGAGGAAGAATAGATTTCAGAGAAACCTGAGTTTGGAACCTGGATTTTCTATATAGTGGAATGTGCTATTAAGACAGTTAATCTCCTCAAGCCTCCATATCTCTAAAATGGGACTAATAATACTCTGAAGTATTGTGGGGGGAGAATTAAATAAGATAATTATACAAAGAGGCTTGCACATAGTCAGCTCTTTAATAGTCACTGAGTTAGCATTATTATAAAAACAAGGAGCCCTCAGATACAGAGGATTAATACACTCTGATTACTCCATCTTAATGTATTTCTTCCCTGGAAATTTGGAGCTTTCTAATAGATGAAGACAATAACGGAAAATGGAGAGCATTATTTATAAAGATGAAAGCCAATGGATTGACTCAATAAAGAAACAAATAACTAGTTCTAAACGGGGGGAAAAAAGCTTGCCAAGGACATCATGAGAAGTAAATTTAACTGAGAAAACATTATAGTTAACATCTTTATACCATTAATTGCTTTAATCCACTTCAATACATGAGTAATAACTTTAGGTGTTACTGAACATATAAAATAGTCAAAAAGAAACTTTCCTTTTTGTTAACTTCTTGAAAGCTAACTTTTCAAGAGTCTGTGTTAAACAGTAAAAAAAAAAATCACTTACCAAGGATTAATATAAAATGCCAAAAGATAATCAGTCCAAAGACATGAAGGTAGCAGGGTTAAGAAAGCAAATATACTCCTACGCCTGTGTGCATTAATAGGTAACAGATGGAAAGACGAAAAAGTTGCAAGAGTTAGTAACATAAACTGTGAATAGATACCAGTTAATTACCTATGGGGATCAATTAATATGACAAGCACCTTAATTACAACTAAATATTAACCCATTCTGTGAAATATAAATGTGAGGGCTTAAATGCTGCAATATTGATAAAATCAGTTCTTATTCACACGTGACCTTATTGTAATCAGATATATTTCTTTCTGCTTATTTTGTGTCAATTAGACTGCTACTAGATGATTACATTTCGTATTCCTTCAAATGAAGCACTTAAGTGCCTCATTACTTATCTTGAGTCTTATTCTTGGGTATTATTCTTCCAATGGTTAAGCTTATTTTCAGAAACCTCTGTGACATTATGTGACAGCTAAACAGCAGCTTGTGTGAGAAAATAAAAATGGTCAGTTTACATGTACTGATTCCGGTGAAGATTAAGCTTTTAAGAGACATTCTTATAAAGCTGCACTACTAAGTGTGACTTTCTGTATTTTTAAATTACCATAAAATTTATAAATATAGCCCTTGAAACAGAGGTATGGATGATACTCAGATATCATTCATTCAAGAAAAATAGCTCATTAACTACTTAGCCTGTGACCTCACTGATATTCATCTAAGTAGGAGCAAAATAGTCCAGTTTCACCTAAATTCTAAGTCAGACTTGATTTAAAATGCCTGGTTTCAGATATTCACACTACTTGTCAAACAGAATACCCATTAATATAGATTTTAAAATATGCTATTACTATATCTGTAGTTATTCTGGGAATTAGGGGAAAAAATACTGTCACCTTGTCACTTCAGTTATTACAAATCATCACTGAGATATCTATTCTCAGTCAGCTAGAAAATGCTAGGGTCTGCAAAACCGTCTTTGTGAAGAGCTGCAGGAAGATGTGCTTGATTTTATAGGAAGATCCTGAAGTGAATTCTCTTTGCCTCAGTTTTCCCATTACTGGTCTTTCATAAATTCTATGAATTGTGACTGGCTGTGAAGTTAGTTAATACATAACTCTCATGAGTCGCAAATATTAAATACATATAATCGGATTGGTCCCTAGATGGGCCACTCAACACTCCTCTCCCACTGGGCCTTTAAAAAGGGTGAACCAGGCAAGAAACAAGTACCAGTGAGTCAATTTCTTAATTTTGGAAAGAGTGCTAATATACCCGAACAAACTTCGTAATGTTTCCTAACTTTACACCACCAAGGGTTGATGGATTTCTTTTTCTTCACAATTGGGTTAATTGTATTTTAATAGTAAAATTCTATTCATGTTACAATTTTTAAATGGCACAACATGTTGTATTTTTAAAAAGAATCTGGTTTCAACTAGATTTTCAACTAGAGTGAGTATCAGCTACACTGAGGGAAGTAAAATTTATATCCTAAATAAAGTTCTCCCTCCCTCCCTCATTGATTCTGTAAAATTTCCAGTCTCCCATATATATTTCTTTAAGATTATCCATTTTAGGAGTTAGAAAACGGAAAGAAATAACTTAACAATGATCAATATGACATCTATTCATTTACGTCTACTTTGCATTGTTGATTGCAAAAGAAACAAACTAGACCATGTAAGTAGTACTAGCTTCATGTTAAATATTTACTTAATTAGTACTTTTGTTGGGCAGTAATTGAACTGAATGGGATTATTAATTTTCATCTATCAATGTGAGGTATAGTGTCAATTTAATCTCTTGACAATGTTCTTTAAAATTCGAACACTTCCTCCCTCCAAGTCCTTAATACTCAAGCATAAGGAAAAAAATGAAGCCACGTTTTCTTATGAAATTTCCTTGGCTTTGATATTTATTTATCTGTAAGGATGAGAACTGAATACTGGGCTGTATAATTTTTTTTTTTTTTTTTTTTTGAGACCGAGTTTTGCCCTGTCACCCAGGCTGGAGTGCAGTGGTGCAATCTTGGTTCACTGCAACCTCCACCTCTCCAGCCAAGCAATTCTCCCGCCCCAGCCTCTGGAGTAGCTAGGATTACAGGTGTTCACCACCCTGCCCAGCTAAGTTTTTGTATCTTTAGTAGAGATGGGGTTTCAGCGTGTTGGCCAGGCTGGTCTTGAACTCCTGACCTCGTGATCTGCCTGCCTTGGCCTCCCAAAGTGCTGAGATTACAGGCGTGAGCCACCATACCTGGGCTGGGCTGTATAATTTTTTAAAAGAAGTCATGGCTCTTATCTCCTCAGGCACTGAAACGTGAGTTTAAAATAGAGATGCTGGGTGGGCATGGTGGCTCATGCCTGTAATCCCAGCAATTTGGGAGGCCTAAGTGAGAGGATCACTTTGGCCTAGGAGTTCGAGACCAGCCTGGGCAATATAGTGAGAACTCATTTCTACAAATATTAAAAATTAGCCAGATGTGGTGGTGCATGCATGTAGGCCCAGTTACTCGGGAGGCTGAGGTGGGAAGAATGCTTGAGCCTAGGAGGCAGAAATTGCAGTGAGTTGAGATTGTCCTGCACTCCAGCCTGGGTGACCAAAGAGGAAGATTCTGTCTTCCCCCAATATACAGAACAAAAAACAAAAAAATAAAATAAAATGGAGGTGCTGCTGTGTCTCATGCTGCTTCATTGGAATCTCTTCTCATGCCTTTATCCACCACTTGTTCAGTGTGGCCCCTGCAGTTAAGCCCTTCAGCACAGTTACAGGCTCCTGTGCACAACTGTTTCAGTCCTTTGTTTAATACTGTGAATACAGAGCAGACCACGACGTTTTCCCCACTTCAGAACTGCACTGAGCTTACATAAGCGGTTGTACTCTGTGAAGATCTAGCTACTGAAAGTCTACCATCTCTGAAATTACAAAAGGAGAATCGGGCAAAACTATCCCCAAGACAGTGAAACCAACTTTGGAGCACACACAGCATAGTTAAACCATGTAGAAGCTTGTTCCAAAACAATACTCACCAGTTGTATGGAAGTTTTCCATCCCTCTCTAAAGATGCAAAATTGACAAATGTACCTGCTCCACACTCCCTGTTTGAAAGGAACGGCAAAATCAAGGTTACTGCAAGACAAAGCATTCTTACCTTGACATACAAGTAAAGAGAGACTTTACTAGCTTATCATCACAGCATTAAATGAAGAAAATAGCAAATACAAGTTCCATATGCTCCTTTTTGGCATGCAATGCAAACCAGAAAGATAAAACAAAATGAAATGATCTTTCGCAAGTTTGCAAATCAAAACATTTGAGGCCAAAAGAATTCACTTCACCATCCTTTCCAAAGGGTATTCATAATTCTAAAATAAATATCTTAACTATTTGGGGTATAATATTTATTGATTTACAAATCAATACTCATTTACAAAATGAGTACCAGAAACTCTCATATATGAACTGAGGATTTTTCATCTTTAGCAAAAATTCTTCTCAGGGTTTTGTTTTATGGCATTTTGATTTCCTCTCTGCAAAGATAGTGGATCAAGTGGATTGTTTACTTCCTCCAAAGTCTTTCTCTTATATTGTCATGCCCACATTATTAATCACTTGAGATTAGAATAAACGAGCGGTATGAATTGAAATAGGCAAGCTTCTGGCATGCCTGTTATCTGGAATGTGGCCTATTAATCTGCTGGTAAAAACACGATTGAAGCTTTTTTTCCCAGAAGTAGAGCAAAAGTAAACATATTCTCATGCCTTCTCTACCTTTTGGCTAATTTCATGCATGAATAACATAGTTCATTGGGGCTCATGTATCTCATCTTTTCTTTATATGGAAATAATGGGTTTAATATTCCAACTGAAACAGACATTTTGACATTCCTGGCACAATGTGCTAATTATTTGAATTATCTACCTGTTCTTATTAGGGTGTTCCAAGAACAATTTTCTTTTCTTGAAAAAAATACACTAATATAATAATATCATGGTGTATTATAAATTACACATCATTAATGAATTTTCCTATGTCGATTTCCTATATATGGGATTTATTTTATCTCCAATTCAAGGGTTCTAATGTGGGGTTCCAAGGGTAGAATTTAGGACTCTGGGAACATATGTGGGAAAAAGTTACATATTTATTTTCACAACCTGTGACTAACCTTAGCAGTCCCTTCTATCATTAAAGTGGGTACTAAACTATCAGAATATCCACATGTGTGATTAGCTGACAATAGAAATTACATATTTTTAATAATAGACTTGGTGCAGATATCTTGAAATATTGGTTATATTCATCACCACGATGAAATTGTTAGACTATTACATATCAACAGTTAATGTATTAATTAAAAAGCATACAACAGATGTTTTTAAAAATATGATTATATTTCAATATAGTCATATAATTCTATGTATGTATGTATGTATGTATGTATGTATGTATTTATTTATTTATTTTTTGAGATGGAGTTTCACTCTTGTTACCCAGGCTGCAGTGCAATGGCATGATCTCAGCTCACTGCAACCTCTGCCTCCTGGGTTCAAGCGCTTCTCCTGCCTCAACCTCTGGAGTAGCTGGGATTACAGGCATTCGCCACCGCACCTGGCCAATTTTTTACATTTTTGGTAGAGATTGGGTTTCTCCATGTTGGTCAGGCTGGTCTCAAACTCCCAACCTCAGGTGATCTACCCGCCTCGGCCTCCCAAAGTGATTACAGGCATGTGCCACCGAGCACAGCCTCCTGTGAATTTCACTTTAGGCTCAGGAGATGGAAGCATTCTTCTTAGAAGGGTTCACCAGGCTGCCAAAAATGATCATGGCACGAAAAATGATGGGAATCTCTGTTGTAAAAACTAGCTGAAAGAATCAGAACCACCCCCTCCTGAATATCTGTGGTATGTACCACAAAAAATGCTCAGAAATACTGCTACTTGCATTACTCTGTCTATGACCACTTCCTCCACCATTACTACTGTGAGCTAATATTTACTGCACACTTCCTATACGTTGAGGATTATGCTATGTTATTACTGCATTAATGCTAAGTATCTACTCGATTATCGTCTCTTCTGCATACACATTCTTCCCCTGGCTTCCAGGCCACCACGCTCCCTTAGTTGTCCTTATAGTCCACTGGCTGCCTCTCGTCAGTCTCTTACTGTTATCTTCTTTTCTCCCTGAAAACCTTAACATTGATTGTTCCGGTGATTAATCGGGGGACTTCCTCTTTTACTTTTACTTCCTGAGTTTCATCCAGTCTAAAGCTCTAGGGCAATTTACATACTAACAACTCTCTCTCTCTCTTTTTTTTTTTTTCTGAGACAGAGTGTCACTCAGTCACCCAGGTTGGAGTGCACTGGCATGATCTCGGCTCACTGCAACTTCTGCCTCCTGGGTTCAAGTGATTCTGCTGCCTCAGCCTCCCAAGTAGCTGGGATTACAGACGCTTGCCACCACACCCAGCTAATATTTTGTATTTTTAGTAGAGGTGGGTTTCACCATGTTGGCCAGGCTGGTCTCGAACTCCTGGCCTCCCAAAATGCTGGGATTATAGGCATAAGTCACCATGGTTGGCCAAAAACTCTCAACTTTATATCTTCAATCAAGAATTCTCTCTCGAACATTAGACGTTTATGCTCAGCTGGCTACTCTGCACCTGCCCTTGCAAGTTATCTCGAACTTCACATTTCTGGGATGGTTAATACTGTGTCAAATTGATTGGATTGAAGGATACAAAGTATTGATCCTGGGTGTGTCTGTAGGAGTGTTGCCAAGGGAGATTAACATTTCAGTCAGTGGGCTGGGAGAGGCAGACCCACTCTTAATTGGGTGGGCACCGTGTAACCAGCTGCCAGCGACTATAAAGCAGGCAGAAAAACATGAAAAGGAGAGACAGGCCTCGCCTCTCAGCCTTCAACTTTCTCCTGTGCTGGACGCTTCCTGCCCTTGCACATTGGATTCCAAGTTCCTCAGTTTTGAGATTCAGACTGGCTCTCCTTGCTTCTCAGCTGCTCTTCAGCCTATCGTAGAACCTTGTGATTGTGTAAGGTAATATTTAATAAACTCCCATATATATTATAATAATACTTAATAAACTCCCATATACATGCACATATATATGTGTATATATGCATATGTGCATATATATGGGAGTTTATTAAGTATTATTATAATATATATGGGAACTATAGCTATATCTATCTATGTATCTTTCCTTTTAGTTTTGTCCCTCTAGAGAACCTTGACTAACACAATTTCCAAAACTGAAGTCTCGATGTTCCCCCAGCTCTGACCTGGAATCCTCTCAGTTGATGGCAACTCCATTCTTTCAAGTGCTAGGGCCAAAACTTGGAGTTATCTTTAACTCCTTTTTTTGATTTCCATTCCACATCAACTTATTAGCAAATCCTGTTGCTCCTATTTTCAAAATACGTTCAGAATCTGATGGCTTCTCTCTGCCTTCAGTATTGCTACTCTGGGCTGAGCTATTCCCATCTCTTGCCTGGATTCCTGGCTACCACCATTGATATGTCTGCCTCTCTCCTGGCCCCAATACAGCCTGTTTTCTACATAAAAGTCAAAACAAGGCCGGGCATGGTGGCTCACGCCTGTAATCCCAGCACTTTGGGAGGCCAAGGCGGGTGGATCATGAGGTCAAGAGATCGAGACCATGGTGAAACCCTGTCTCTACTAAAAAAAGCCAAAAATTAGCTGGGCGTGGTGGCACACACCTGTGGTCCCAGCTACTTGGGAAGCTGGGGCAGGAGAATTGCTTGAAACTGGGAGACGGAGGTTGCAGTGAGCCGAGATCACACCACTGCACTCCAGCCTGGTGCCTGGCAACAGAGCAAGACCGTCTTAAAAAAAAAATAAATAAATAAGTCAAAACGAAAGTGTTAAATCTAAGTCAGATGCTGTTAATCTTCCTCAGCTGCAATGCCTGCCCATTTTACTGAGTAAAAGCCAAAGTCCTTCCAATGGCTTATGCAGCCCCGTGTGACCTGGCATCGCCGTCTACCCTTGTCTTCCTCCACTTTAGTCACTCGGCTACACTCTGAACATCCCAGTCCTCCTCCTACCCCTGGGCCTTTACACCAGCTGTTCTTGCTACCGGGCACACTCTTCCCACAGACAGCACAGGCTACCTCCTACCCGGGCTGCAAGTCTTTGCTCCAATGCCACTATTTCAGTGAAGCCTACCCACCTCCCAGGGCCCCTCTTCCCACACTGGTACTGCTTATTTCCCTTACTTGGCTTTGCTTCTTTTTCTTATCACCTGCAAACATACGGTGCAATGTTTTTACTTATATCGTTATTGTTTTTTGTCACCTATTTTTGTATGTTTCATATACTGTCTTATATGTATCAATTTTGTAATATGAATGCATGAAGATTCAGTGACCTACACAAATTAACCAAGTTGAAAGTCAAGATTTGACCTCAAGGAGGCCGACTATGGTGACTCATGCCTGTAATCCCAGCACTTTGCTAGGCGTAGTGGTGCGTGCCTGTAATCCCAGCCCCTGGGGAGGCTGAGGCAGGAGAATCACTTGAACCTGAGAGGCAGAGGTTGCAGCGAGCAGAGATGGTGCCATTGCACTCCAGCCTGGGTGACAGAGTAAGACTCTGTCTAAAAAATAAATAAATAAATAAAAAATAAAGGAAAAAGAAAAAAAGATCTGACTTTAGGCAGTGAGTCTAATTTCAGAGCTCTCCACTGAAGTCACAGTGCAATCCCATCTCTTCTTATCCTTTCAAGATTTATTCAAATGCCAACCGTCAAGAAGCTAATTTCACCTTCTGAATTAGTCTTTATTCTCTACTTTTGTGGGATCTTGTTTTTAATATTCTTACCCTACGTGTTAGCTTCTGCCTTTAAATATATCTATTCGTCTATCCAGGTAGGTGGGTAAGTTCCTAGTGGACAGTTCTGATGTCTGATTTTTCTTTGGATGTGCCATGTCAGGCACTGATTACATCACTTTTGGATGGATGAATTTATTTATGAATGTGTGAGTGATAGAATTCTGAGACAGAAGAAACATGCTAACTTATAATCCATCAGGTTAATATTAGGCAAATATAAATTTTAACCAAGTTTCCAAAACCAAGTAGTATTCAAATAAGCAACAGTTTTTAAGGGAATTGATAGATTGTTCTGATAATAGAGGGGGCCACAGAAAGCGCTTGAGAATGTGCTCTGATGGTCATTGAGCAGTGCCTTGGTGGTCAAAGGAACAGAGAAGAACTGACATCATAAATCAAAGGCTTTTCTAACTGCAAGAAAAATTAAGCTGGCTGCAACTCTGAGTAATAAGAATAAAATTAATAGAGACTACTAATGGACCCAATCATAAACTGTACAAATATTTTCCAATAAAACAGCTTAAATTTATGGAGAGGATTCCCTCGCATTCTTCCTGGTCACCTTTATTTTTATTAACTTTTTTCATTAATTATACTGAACAGGCATAGATATTTCTTTTACTCCAAACATGTTTGAAAGTACCCAAATGTAATAGATCGCCATATATGGGCTACTTCAAATGCCACGATTTGATAGCAGGTCTGACTTTGTGTAAACAAGAAATGCTTTGCTTTCTCATGTCAATGGTAATATTTTCCAACATGATGTTTAAAAGTCGACTTAGAAAACACACAAAATAGAAACAGACCCTGAAAACTAAAATCAAATTTACAGCTATACAACTTATACGGCAGATAAGGATATTTTAAACATTGTGGATAAAATATTAATAAAACTTACCTAGCCATCTGCAGATGCTTTTTCCTAAGAATAATGAGGGTAACAAGCAACAGTCCAATTAAAAGTGTGCTAAGGATGGCCAGCACGGAGATCACTACCACATTGGGGTTCATCTCTGTAACTGAAGAGATAAGTCGTGCATTTTCATCACAGGTTCTGTTACAGGGAACCAACCAGAACCATTGTTTCTCATCTAGTCTTAAGAGCTGTGAACTTATGATGACACCGATAATAACAACAATCCTGTTCCCCAGGCCAACAATGACCTCTTCCTGGTTAACTGCAACTTTGCAAACTAGACTGATAAATGGCATTCATGATAAATGATACCAATGATAAATGGAAGAATTGAGTCCATTTCAAAAGCCTACAACATTCAGGATATTCTTATAAAGGGAAACTGAAGAATGAAGAATGCCTGCGCCACAGTTTAAAATCATTCGAAAGCTAAAAATACAGAAGTAATTATCACGCATTATCGCTCTTTAACATTTTCACAAGCTGAGAGGGTGGCAACTTATTTTATGCCCATGACTTTGAAGTCAGAAAGCACAATTGTATCCTTTGCTTACAACTAATAATGTATATGAAAAAGGCATTAGCAAACTACCATCTGCTGAAGCACTTAACACATTACTCGAAGCAGGCATTCTGATGACTTGTGGCCATATGTTTAGAGGTTTTCCATCTGCACAACTGGAGATTAAACCTATTAATCGGCCCTGAAGAACAGGGGCCGCATCCTTTCTACGTACTGTTTATAAAGTCTTGTCTCCTATGACACTTACACATTGTCTACTCCTTCAAACTATGCGGAAGAACAGGATATCAAAGGCAGGAACGTAGGTTAAATGTTTGCATACAACTCTTTAAAATGGGCCTGAGGACTCATATCACCTTTTGCATTGATCATAAAATCGCAGAATGAGCGAGCGCATCTGATCTCTAAGGCTTTTGGTATTTATCATTTCCCATGTGGGCCAGCTTGGGTCCAGTTTATGGGTACAGGGCTTAAACAGGAAAAACAATAGACTCATGGTCAGAAGAGTTGTTCACTTGAGTATTAACCGCTATTTGGAGAAGTCATTTCAACTGTCCTACGGGCCTCATTTTCCTCATTTGTAAATAATTTTAATAATGCTGTACTGTGTTGTCACAGAGCTGACAAGGAATGATGGACATTAAGGTACAGTTGACCCTTGAACAAAATAAGTTTTAACTGTGCAGGTTCACATATATGCGGATTATCTTCCCCCTCTGCCACCCTTGAGACAGCAAGACCAAACCCTCTTCTTCCTCAGTCGACTCGTTGTGAAGACCACGAGGGAGATCTTTTTGAAGATCTGCTCCCACTTAATGAATAGGAAATATATTTTTTCTTCCTTATGATTTGCTTAATGATATTTTAAGTTCTGTAGCTTACTTTATTGTAAGAATACAATACATAATACGTGTAACATACAAAAATGTGCTAATCAACCGTCTACATTATTGGAAAGACTTCTGCTCAACAGTAGTCTCTGAGTAGTTAAGTTCTGGAGGAGTCAAAAATTATATTTGGATTTTGAACTGTGTAGGAGACAGCACTTCTAACCCTCTCGTTATTCATGGTCAACTCTATACTTTAAAAAGTGTACAAGGATGTAGGAATGAGAGACAATTAAAATATTTAGCAGGTATATTTTTTGTCCTCCGTTCTGAAAAAACAAAAATTAAAAACAGAAAACCAAAAAGAAAAAGAAAAAAGAAAACAGTCCAGTCCAGTCATCCCTGAATATAGCAGCTACATATATGACTAATATTACAGAAATGAAACTAAACCAGTAAAGGAATGATGACATATGAGTGGCTTAATTACAGGAAGCTTCTTAGAGGGTCTCAGGTTGCAGAATCAGACTCTAATAAACCGGGAGCAACACACGTAATACAACTCAGAGAAAGAATAAAGAAATAAACAGCATCATTCCAGGGCTCTCATTAATCTCTAATTTTCCAACTTATACTTTTGGCTGGATTGGAAACTTTCTTGCTTTGACCCAGTAATCAATTATGTCATTCTCTGATCGGTGACAGATGAAGGCTAAGGCTAAATAGATGAAATTGGATTGATGAGGGTACTGTGCCTATTCCCGAGAAAGATGAGATAAATTCCCAACTAGCCCTTAGAGAGTATATACTAAGGCTTTAAGTATTTTACTTCTCAGCTTCAAAACAACTATGGAAGTCACACATTATTATTATTCCAATTTTACAGATGAAAGAAAAGCTCAGAGACACCCAATGTCTTTCTCTAACTCCATAGCTAGTAAGTGCACTTTGGGATTGAAATTAAGGACTCTTTGGCCCTGGAGCTTGAGATTTCTTGGTGGAATATTGGTACCATTAAAAAATACATATGCATATATATATATATATGGCTTTTTTTCCAAAAGAAAAAGTGAGAAAATTATGGAAAAATATGGGAAGAACTTCCAAAGACCAGATTCCACTAGTGTGTATAATTACCCATTGTTGAGACGGCTATGAACGTAGGGACACTGGGGCTGTCGTGACTAAAGCTGGTGACACTGCAATTGTAGGCAGTGGCAGGAAGAAGGCTGGAGATTGTCACAACATGAGAAGAAACAGCAACTGGTTCCTGGGATTTGAGAAAATAAGATACATTTAGGTTATCTTCATCTATCTTTTTAAAACATATTTTTCATCGTTGAGTTGGTAAAGATTGACAGAGTAAAAATGTACAAGATGACAAAGGATAGCATTGAAAAATGTTTCCTTCTTTCCCCATTCCCCATCTGACCAATTCCCTTCCATGGAAGGAGCCATTGTTGCCAGGCATTGTTTTTCTTCCCATATGCATTTTATGGATGTATAAACATATATGACATAGTTAAAAAACAGAAGTGATGGCTCAGCTTACACACTGTTCTACTTATTTTTTACCTTAGTTATCAATGTATTTTGGTGCCTTTTCCATATCGGTACAGATTAAGCTATTTTATTCTTTTTAAGGGCTGATAGAAATCCATTGAAAGGACATACAGTACTTTGTTTAGTGAGCCTCCACTGATGAATGTGTAAATGATCTCTGATTTTTTGCTATTGCAAATAATGCTACAATGAACATCAATTCACAAATTTGGGAAGACACACACACACACACACACACACAATGTATGCATGTAATATGTATGTGTGAACATACACACATAGGCATATATTCATATGTTCTTTGCTAGTGTTACATTCTTTGAAATGCCGAGTCAAAAAAGTGCACATTTAAAATTTTGAAAGCTATTGAAAAATAGTTCTCTACAGACATTTTTCAAGTTCCTCACCTATGGCATTAATCCACGACAGTCCCTGCTTCCCTTCCTTCTTTCCAACACCATACATTCTCAAACTGAGCTTTTCCAATATTATTAGAGAAAATTGCATATTGTGGTTTTATTTTGCATTTTTAAATCATAAGTGAGGTTGCTCAATTTTTCATCTGTTAAGAGACTTCTGTATTTATTTTTCTATGAAACATTTGTTTTGGGTTGTTTGTCTTTACCTTTTTTGACTTGAAGCAATTCTTTATATATTAAGGATACTACCCCTTTGACTACATTCTCAGCTTTTAGATAGGATCCACTAAAGACATGGCAACTTTCTGCCCTCAGAATCATTTAGTATTGACCTATTCGTGAGTCAAAAAAGTTGCTAACTTGGTGAACCCACGGCCAGACTAGTGACAAGTACTACTGTACAGTATCAAAAGATGAGCCAGTATCTTTTCAAAACAAGATTTTGAAACAGCCTTGCGTAAAGAGACGAGAGCCGTCAGCATTTTCTTCCACTTCCATCTCTGTCACTGTTCTGTAGAATTATTCTAAGGAAAGCCTTTTGCCGATAGGACTCAGTTGTAAGTAGCTAACTAACCATTGTTTTTTAAAGGAAGGCATCACTGTAGCTATAGAGAAGAAAATCCATTATCGGCAGAGCAGTTATTCTCCAAATGGGTTCTTAGAATAGAGAAGATTCAGCTGCTCAGCACAAACCCACAAGAGATACATTTGTAGAGGGAATTATCAAAAGGAGAGAGGAATCAAAGCAAATTATCTTATTATTCAGTATGAGAAGATTTGCACTCCCAGCAATCCTTTTTTCTTCTTGATCTCATGAACTTCATTATTTTAAAAAATCAGTTATTTATGTTCACATATTAGTCTACACACTGTATTATGTGAAGTCCCTAACAAATCTGTCCTTTTCCTCCCCCCTCTGGCTGTGAAATATTCTTCCCTTGTGGTGTTGCCACTCCTAGAACTGCAGGTTTATCTCTTTCCAGCCATTCATTCTGACTTGGTGAACAGCTCTTTCTATCAGATCTGACATCTGTAATTCTAGAGCTGTAGCAGCAGCCTTCTCTCAGCCTTCATTTTGCAACAAAACGGTTCCCCTTACAAACTAGATATGCACGTTTCTGTCAAATTCTCTTGATAGTATGGACCTCTCTTGTGGTACTTACATTTTACTTTACTTTTTTCTATACATATGCAATGTCCATACCATATAAAAATATTTTGAAGGCGAATACTGATTCTATTATATGTGTACTGTACAGTGCCTTTTATATAATTGGCAGTTGGTTCATGTTTGTTAAATTATATTTTATACGATAGAGTCTTCATTCCCTTCATCAATTCAATGGGCTACTACTTTTATTCCTTTGTCTGACCTGGAGTGGCAATGAATTAGGGACAAACGATACAGACAAAGAGAAAAGTTCTCATAATATCTTTTTGGCTTGGTCTAAGCATCCTGTTAATTGCTATCACTGAAACACAAAAGAGCAAATAAACAGTTTTCATTGTATATAGTTCAAAGGAATAGAAGATTCTTTTTTTTTGCCCAGATAATTAGCCTTAATTAAAATTATCGTAGAAAAGGTAAATCGAAAGGTACAGTACCTGAAGTTTGGTTTTCTGACTGGAGCCAACTTGTTGACAGAAAACTTCAAAGAAATCAGCTACTCCCTCTTCCACCCACAGCAAAGTCACCGAAGTCTGGGTTTTGTTCACTGCGAAGAGTGATTTGGGTGGAGCTGGTTCTGAGCAAAAAAAATACTTAATTTACTAAGTGTATTCTTTTTTCTTTCACTAATAAGCAGGTGAAACATCCCCCAAATTCAAATATAGAGAGGTAAGAGCCACAAAAAGTTTACATTGCTCTTGAAATACGTGCTTTCATGCAAACAGCTGTCTAACTTGGAAGGCAGAATATTTTGCCTTTTCCCTTTTCCAAGTTTTTACTTCTCTTTTTGAAACGCTTTTGTTTTCGACTTCAGTTTCATCATAGACATAATATACTAACAGTTTCTGTATAATTTATGCTGGAGTTACCATTGCCCTGATAATACAGAACTTTCTGGATGAGAAACAAAACATCTGTACTTAATAAAGGTGGAGAAAAATGAAAATTGGTGTGCTTCTTTCTAATGATGAGGTGCAGCTTGGTATTTAGCCAACAACCTGTTTTCCTTTCTCTGGAAACTATCTGAAAAAATTCAGACAGAGAAATGGCTGCTTGAAAATTTAGTCAAAATTTAAAAAGACAAAGCTAAACAGATTATATATATATATATAAATATATATATATATATATTTTTTTGAGGCTGGATCTCATTCTGTCACCCAGGCTATAGTAGTGACAAGTGCAGTAGTGGAAACACAGCTCATTGGAACCTCATTTCCCTGGCTCAACTGATCCTCCTGCCTCAGCTTCCCAAGTAACTGGGACTGCCTGGCTTATTTTTGTATTTTTTGTAGAGATAGAGTTTTGCCATGTTGCTCAGGGTGGTCTCACACTCCTGGGCTCCAGCAATCAGCCTGCTCTGGCCTCTCAAAGTGCTGGGATTACAGGTGTGAGTCACTGTGCCTAGCTGATAATGTAATTTTTTAAGAAAAGCATTGATAGAAAAGGATTGGATGATTAATAAAATGTTAGAGACAAACTTTTTATCTTAGACCTCTTATCTAATGTCTAATTATTAAAGATAAGTACACAATATTTATAACTAAATAAATAAATCCATTCATTAAGGAAGCTTCGCTGTCTGTCCTCTTCATACTTATTTCTAGTAATTGAGTCACTGGCATTGTTCTCTTGAGACCAAAAACCCTGCCTTTTTCTCAGTTCTAATAGTCATCCACTGTCTCATTCTCCGTTCCTGAATGTCTCCTGGTCTTCTGCTGTGACCCTGTCTTTTGGATGTTGTCTTTCCCTCTATGCTGACTGCTATGCCTGAACTCAAGGTCTTAAGCTGGGGTCCCTGTTACCTGCTCTCAGATCCCCTGACATTGCTTGTTTGTCCATATTGTATCATGCTACTAGGTTCACATAACAGCATCCTTCACCCAGCAGTACGTGCCTGTCAGACAACTACCCACCGTGGTAGATTTCTTCCTGCTTGTTACTCGGCTTTTTCATTTTCTGCCCCACTCTGCTGAGTCTGTTCTTTAGCTCCCGTCCTTTAGCAGTGCTTGAAAAAGCCCGTCAGCCATTTCACTGCTTTGACGGGTACAGATCTTTGTGTGGGAAGATTTGGACCTTGTTTCTAGAATATCATCATTACGGTCCTATCCGGAACCAAGAAGTAGGTCAGAATCATGCTTGACATGATTTACCACCGATAGCCTAAACTTATGTCCAACTAAAAAGAAGCCTCTTTCTTTCCTGCAGCAACTTGACAAGGTCAGGCAGAAGAGCTAAAGGAGGAACAAGATGACTTTGTCCCAGGCACGCAAAATTCACAATGGATGTCAGAACCCCTTTTTCACTTGTAATGAATTGTCCAGTCCTCCAGACATTGTATTGTCCTGTTTCTACTCTGATGAGGACAGCTAATGAAATACGGAGGTCAATTTCCACTTCTCACATCCTTCATAACTGCCATTGCTAATAGGGTTATGTCCTCTAGGGATTCTGACTCATGTGGAACTTGAATCTGTGGAACCAAGTGTGAAGTTGTTTGGGGCATAGATGAACGATTTGTTAGGCTAAGCCTGGGCTTTTCTTTTTTAAAAATACACACTACAGAATTGTTCTTTAGATACAATTCTGAGGCTCTTTTATTTCTCAGTCTCAGAGAGCAATCTTTTAAAAACTCTTGTTACCTTTTCCTTTAATCTATTTTTTTTTTTTTTGAGACCGAGTCTCACTCTGTTGCCAGGCTGGAATGCAGTGTCCAGATCTCAGCTCACTGCAACCTCCACCTCCCAGGTTCCAGCAATTCGCCTGCCTCAGCCTCCCGAGTAGCCGTGACTACAGGTGTGCACCACCATGCCCAGCTGATTCTTTTGTATTTTTAGTAGAGATGGGATTTCACCACATTGGCCAGGATGGTCTCCATCTCCTGACCTCATGATCCGCCTGCCTCAGCCTCCTAAAGTGTTGAGATTACAGGCGGGAGCCGCCGCGCCAGCCTCCTTGAATCTGGTTTTAAAGTATATTGCATGTCCAGAGTCTTGTCATCAACACTCACTGATAGTCAAGAAACTTCTGAACCTCCTTTTCCCTGGCTCTAGTCAGTTCTTCATTTTGTCAATGATGGTTTAAAATCATTTAAAATAAAATGCTGCTTTGCTCATATTAAATCCTATCTATGCATTGTCTGTGGTATCACATCCAAACATGCCATGTCTTTGAGATCTGGTTTAGGCTGCTCGTGGGGGCTCATGCCTGTAATCTCAGCACTTTGGGAGGTCAAGACAGGTGGATCACAAGGTCAGGAGCTTAAGACCAGCCTGGCCAATATGGTGAAACTCCGTCTCTCCTAAAAATGCAAAAATTAGCTGGGCATGGTGGCAGGTGCCGATAGTCCCAGCTACTTGGGAGGCTGAGGCAGGAGACTTGCTTGAACCCCAGAGGCGGAGGCTGCAGTGAACGGAGATCGCTCCACTGTACTCTGGCCTGGGGGACAGAGTGAGATTCTGTCTCAAAAATAGAAATTCCTGTTTAAATTGGCTGCACGCTATCCTTCCAGCTTTACCACAATTCGTAACATATAGATGTGCTTCCTCCTGGGAAAGCCAGTCTTCCCACTGACCTTCAGCGTGGCAGCGGGCAGTGCTATATTTCAGCCCAAGTTTACCTTCAATCAGTATACTTTTTATTCTACTCATTTCAAGGTCAAGAAAAAGTCTTATCTCCTCCATGAAGTCTCATTTGACCACTCTTTCTCTTGATGATTTATCCCTTCTCTGACATTCTACTGCCTTCAATTATTTCCTACATAATCTATAAGTGAAGGCCTGATTCTAGTTGATCCTATTAGATTCTTTAAGAATAAGGGCCATGTGTTATAAATGACTTTGTCTTCAATTTTAAGTAGCCACCTGTAGGTACTCAATACATCGTATTTATTGGCTGATTTAAAACATGAGTCAAGATTGATCAACCAAAGGAGGAGGATTCAAGCACCAGGCAAGACCAGACATGCTGGGGTTGTATCAAATTTCCGGGGAAGCATAATGAACTATCATGAATTATTGCAAGAGCTCCCAGTGGTCCAAGGAATATGACATGGATACTACAGAAAGGGTTTCCTTTGTTCTGGCTGAGAATGTGGCTGTAGGTGATAAGATCCTCAGGAAAATCTCCTAAAGGTCTGGGACACCTAACAGCCACATAAATTTTTTGTAGGGTGGAATATGAAGGCAATAGATTGTTTCAAGGTCCCTGCATCTATCATTGCTCTTCTCTTTTCTGAAAGATGTTTGCATATCAGCTCTGTAGGTCAATGAATAACATACATGAATCACCTGCCTGAGGACTGTTCGGGATCTTTGTGACAGGTGTGCTTCCCTAAATTAATCAGGCAGAAATTTAACCTGGTATCCCAAAAGAAACAAAGTATTACCATTTGCTGTTATTATCATTATGAACTTATTACCATTACAAGATTTCACAAGTGAAGGTATCATTGAATTGGGAGTGCTTATAATTAGATTTTCCTATTCAAGACAGCAGCTGTCCCAGGAAATGTTTTAAAATTAAGAATCGGATTGTGAATTGTCCAACGCAGCCACTAACCACATGTAGCTGTTGTGTATTTGAAATGTGGCTAGTCCAAATTGGGAGGTGCTGCAAACATAAAATACAGACAGAATTTCAAAAACCTAGTATGAGAAAAGAATAAAACACACCATTAATAATTCTTTATATTGATTATGTTTTGGAATAATATGACCTTGGATATATTTGGTTACATAAAGTATGTTGAATTTAACTTCACCTGTTTCTTTTTACTAATTTTTATGTGGCTGCTAGACAATTGAAAATTATACATGTGGCTCTTATTATGTTTGTAATGAATAAGTTAGAGCATTTGCTCTTATTGCCTGGAGTAGAAGCCGGAAATTCTTGGCAAAAACTGGCTGGAGGGGTCCCACATCTCATGAGAAGTCAAGGTCAGCTCATTGCCACAGCCTAGGATGGTTTAGATCAAGCTCGTCCAACCCGTGGCCGGTAGGCTGCATGCCGCCCAGAATGGCTTTGAGTAGAGCCCAATGCAAATGCATAAACTTTCTCAAAACACTGTAAGTTTTTTTGGGATTTAAAAAAATCAGTGTTAGTATATTTTATGTGTGGCCTAAGACAATTCTTCCAGTGTGTCACACGGAAGCCAAAAGCCAAAAGGTTGGACACCCTTGGTTTACGTGACTCATGTTCGCCATCCTCAGAGGCACAAGATTAAAATGGATAGTGACTAAATATTATTTAAGCAATCGCATATGATAGGGAATACAATGACATCAAAAATATTTTGATAGCTTTCTATCTTTGTTATGGGATGAATTATATCCCATCCACCCCAAATTCATATGCTGAAGCCCTAACCTTTAGTACCTTAGGATGTGACTGTATCTTTTTTTTTTTCTGTGATGGAGTCATGCTCTGTCACCCAGGCTGGAGTGCAGTGGCATGATCCTGGCTCACTGCAACCTCCACCTCCCTGGTTCAAGTGATCCTCCCACCTCAGCCTCCTGAGCAGCTGGGACTACATGTGCCTGCTGCCATGCCTGGTTAATTTTTGTATTTTTAGTAGAG